GGACAGGGTGCCCGGAAGAAGTGCTCTGCAGTTCCTTCCCGCTCTCTTGCTTCCTGTTAGACACAGAAGTTCTAGTAAGAAAGGAAACTGTAAGTGTTTTGGCTGTTGGAGCTTGGGGTTTTTAACTGATGAGTCGCACCGCTTCCACTGTCGCATTGCCCCTGGATTTCTTCTACTCTGTAATACCACCTGGGTTTGATGGGCACTCTTCTAAAGACAGTATCGTTACTTCCCATAAAGGGCATCGTGGCAGGCTAAATCGCTGGTGGCCCTTCAGGTTGCCTTTTGGAGCCATAATGGAGAGAGGGAGGTGTCCGGGTCACTACAGTTGTTCATCAGGCTGGTGGCCAATGGTCTGGAGTACTTCGTGGCAAGAGGCAGAACCAACGCCAGTGATGGATGTTGCTGTTTTGCAGGACATGTTCTCCTGCTCTTTGTAAAGGCAGAAATGTATGAGATCACTTCCTACAAATGTTAAATGCAAATATTTGAGAGTAAGTAACAGCAGCAGAGCGAATGTTGTTACTCGAGAGACGTGGTACTTCAGAAGTTCTCTCTGGAGTAACGGCTGATTCAAATGCAGTGTACTTCCAAGTGTCTTTACCTCTCAGCCTGCCCTTTCTCGTGCCAGCGGAGGAGACAGAATGTAACGCAGCTGCCTCCGGTGTCTCCTGCCAGTCTCAGAAGCAGAGAGCAAACTTGTACGAGTTTTGAAACCACAAGTCCAGTGGTTTTCAAAACTGTGGAAAAACAGGCTGTAAACATGAGATGAAGGTGTGTGGGTTGTGATTAGATAACAAAAATACCAGCTTGTGAGCTTTTCTGCCTTCAAATAAATGTTTTGAGAATTTATTTATTTGGAATACATTTTTAAAGTTAGGAGGTCTGGTGGGCAGAGTGTTCGCTACAACGATCACAGAAACTTTATGCTTGGATTTTTTTAAAGTTTGCTGAAATGTTTAATTAGCCTTCCGTGCCCAGCCCCGAGTTTCTTTGCTTCCCCAGCGTGCTGTGTGACATTATGCATCTTGACTGTCTCCAGCTGGCAAACTGGTAACGAATCTAGCATCTAAGTGTACGGTTTCCAGCCCGATGGGTGCATTTTGAAGCTGTTTGACATCAAAGCACGCTGTGCGGCTCTTGCCAGCACAACATCGAGCTGCATCGGGAGGCAGCATCAGAGGCGAAAAGCCTTGACTGGTGGGCAACTTGTCAGTTTATTTTGTTGCCACTTCTAATTGCTGATTCTGATGTGGAAATTAAAACACAAGGCAAAAGGGAAAAAGCACCCCCGGCCTCTGCAGAGGCTTTCCTGCCACCGCAGGTACGCTGGGTCCCCTGGGCTAGGTGATGGGTGGTGCAGGAGGCTGTGTTGGTGCGTGCGTGCTGCTATTTCTGTGGTGCTGTCTTCGCAACTGTGCCCCAGAAAACTCTGTGACAGTGCGTGATCCCTGTGATGGTGCGTGTACTCCCACTGTGTGTTGTCACACTCACCAAGGGAGGGGCAGGAACACCAGTGCAGTGGTTTCAAGTCTGTTACTAATTTTGCCTTCCTTTACAACGTTGGAATTCAGCTTATGTAAGATTATGCATTTTTCAAACACTCGTGGAATGAACTGGGAGGTGCACGCCTGGGCGATGCTGGGGACAACTAGAGCTTAGTCCTTCGGCGTCTCTTCCTTCCCGGCAGAGGAGCAGCAGCCGTGGTCTGTTGCTTTGATGGGTGTAGTCTTGTCGTCAGGGATACACACTTTTGATCCCTGGCACGACTGACAGTACTAAGTGTTGGTTAAAGACCTTATCTCTCTACCTAAAGAAGCACTCAGCACTACATGTGCCGCAGGTTTTGCCGACCGCGCTCTCTGCTCTGGCTGTGATTGCCGAGCGGTTGCTGTTACTCTGATCGGAACATCTCCGTTGCAGCTTGCTCACGGGGGCTCCTTGCCTGCCACCTCCAGCTGAAGCCTCCTGATGCAGTTGCACTTAGGTAGGGTAGTACAGTGGAATGACCTCAGCCCGTTTGTAGGGTAGGACGGGGCTGAATGCCCAGCACCTGCGCTGTACGGTTGGGGTAGGCGGGTACATCAGACCGGTACTTGTGGGCTGAATCACACATCTTATGCACACACAATACATGCACTGTGGTGTAACCACATACACTTTGCCTTCCCTCTTTCTTCCACCTCGGGAGTGTTTGTGTGACTTTATTGTTGCAACGGTTTTTAAAACTAGCTATAGAGGTTGTGCTGGTGGTGATCTAAATGAGTCTAAACCACTTTTTTTTTTTTGTAGATAAGAATGAGGAGCAGGACCTGTGATAGGTGAGCATTAGCAGTAGGGAAGCAAGGCAGTGTAGCCCTAGTGATCCCAGTGTTTGTGTCTCCAGTGTAATGGAAGCCTGTGGGTGCGTACGCTGGGTGCCCTGGCAGATGGCACCTGCCTTTGTGCCCCTAAAGCCGCTCAGCTCTGAGAACAGCCGCTGGCTCCGCGTCTCCCATCTCCGAGATGCTGCCCACAACGGCCCAGGTCAGCACAGAGACCAACGGCAGTGGAGCGTGAACAGAACGAAGCTGCCGTTAGACAGGGACAGGTCATGGCCCCGACCTCACCGTCTGTAACTCCTGGGGGGTCACTGCCGGGAACTGGACAGGAGTCTGAGAAGGAACCCGTGTTTCTGTGTCAGAGTGAGGTAGACAGCAGGGTTTGTGCTGAGCTGGATACATTTTAACCCCAAACTAAAATAAGGGTTGTGGGTGGAAAGGGAAAGCAGCTGTGGGAAGCGAAGATGCTCACAGCTCTTTCTGTACCTCTGCAGGCTGTTAACTTCTGTCCTTAGGGGAGTGGGGTGAAAAAGCAGCAGCAGTGACTGTGGAACCATGTCTGGACTTACTGAGAGGGCTTAAGGAGGAAAACCAGCGCAATACTGAGGTGCTTTTGTAGCTCACCTTTTACACACTGACAGGGGCACTTTTGAAAATCGCCATCCCTCTGGCAGTAAGGGTGGATGGGCGGTGTGGCCGCCTGTACTCGTTTCCTGTGGTGCTTCTAAAGGTGTCTTTTTTTTTTTTCTGTTGGAAATACTGGAATCTGGAAAGAAAACCTAGGGATTACTGGCATAAATCTTGTAATGAAAGAAAGACTCTAGTATTGCCTAACTGAAACTTCAAGTTGTGTAGTATTTGGGGCATCTCTGAATATCTCTGATCTCCCTACCCACCCTCTCCTCAGACCCGTGGTCAGCTGGAACTGTTTTCTCAGGGCCGTGTCCGGTCAGGTCTGGGAGATGGAGATCTTCCGGATGGAGTTTAAGGTCCGGTCAGGTCTGGGGGATGGAGTTTAAGGTTTAAGCAGAATTTCTTGTAGGTCAGTGTGCCTCCAGTCCTGTCACTGAGGCCTCTGAGAAGCATCCAGCTGTGTCATCTGTACTCCCTCCCGTCAGATATGGACACGCATCAGTACGGTCCCCCTGAGCCATCTCGAGAGGCAGCTGCAGGCCTCGGCCTGTGTCTGTCTGCTGGGTGTAAACACTGGCTTTAATCAAGGCTAACACCCTCACAGAGCTGGGAAGGATGTTAAGGCAGCGCTTCTGAGCTGAGAGAGTGCCCACGTGATTTCTGAGGAGTTACTCGTGCTGCCTCACAGGGGGAGAACCAGTGCGTCGCTTCCGCAGTCTGCAAGCAATGAGCTGTGGCGTGTGGTTGGGCAGGGTGGTGTTACGGAGTACGAGATGAGCAGGTTGTCCCTCCCATGCTCTTTCTCAGAAGGCAGTTGTGATCATACTGTATCGCCAAAGAACCTGACTTCCTTATTTCAGGTCTTGTAGCCAGATCTCTTCCTGCACTTGAGGCACCTTGTAGTGCCTAACAGGCCTGCTCTTGGCGTTCGGGAAGAGCTCAGTGCTGCTCCCGAGGTTCACTTCTGCTCTGCATCAGGTCACATCTTTCCTTATTCAGAGCTGCCGGAATTCTGTTCGGCACTGCAGTGCCTTTGGTGGCCGGAGTCCTGTAAAGCTGTCGGATGGACCAGGATATCAGACTTTGGGATAGCCAAGTGTGAATGCTGCCACGCTTGGAAATTCTGAAAACTTGGTTTCCACGCAGCATTGCGTGGGCTTCAGCATTTTTCTCAAGCTAACTCTGGGGAGAAGGGTCTATTTCCACTTTCAGTAGCATCCTTGTTCCCCAGAGTGCTTGATTTTTTTTAATCTGAGCCGGGAGCGTGCTGTTCTGCAGAGGATGAAGAAGCTTCAGGATGTTGGCAGCAAAGGGTTAAAAAAGGGGTTCCACTCGGTGCCAGCTGGCTTGGGTATTCCCATGTTTGCGTCACATTTGGTGGGTTAGGGTAGGTTGTTGGACGTTTTAACCACCTGTCTCATCTCTGGTTTTAGCCTCAAGGAATAGGTTCGCCCAGTGTGTACCACGCGGTGATAGTGATCTTCCTGGAGTTCTTCGCCTGGGGACTCCTGACAGCGCCCACTCTGGTGGTAAGTGATAGCCTAACCGACGGAAATGGGGCGATTGCCGAATTAAACGGACATGGTGTGTCACTGAGCTGCTCTGCTGTGCAGGGGAAGAGTTTTGGATTTTTACATGGAGCCAGGAATTAAAGATTACTTCTTTAAAGCAGCGTGAGGGTGCAGCATGGCTGTTGGCATGCGAGTCTGCTAACACGCATGCTTACCTGTCAGTGTGTTCTGGCTCGAACCCAGTAAGACGGTAACGAAATGTTGTGGCATCTTGAAAGGCAGCACAGAGGTGGCGCATCGCAGAGGTGAGGACAAAACCAAGACGTGGTAACATTCTGCCAGCACGTGTGTGCGTAGGGCGGGTCATTGCTGACCTGGCCGTGTCTTAATCGGAAGCTGCAGAGCGCAGACCCTGTCGCACCGGTTAGAGCTTCCCCGTGACGAGCAGCGCAGTCACACTAGTGTGTTGCTACCATGTCACTTGGTGAGGTAGCTGGTTGCTTTCCATCTGGATTTAATCTTTGAGTGACACATGCTTACGGATTGAAAGGAGCAGAGGCTTCAAGGTCTCCAGGCAAAGCCACCCTTAGGCAGTGCTGGTGCAGTTCTCTAAGCTGATGGTAACTGCACCACTCTCAGACATACACTGCCCGTGGCTCATGGAACAGGATCCATCCCGCAGAATGTGGTCAGACGGTGGGGCTGCGTTAACCTGCACATCTGGGCTCTGGGTGCCAAATGGAGAGGCACTTTGGAATGATGGAAGTCCCTCTTCTCCTGCCCCAGCCCCCCCCAGATGGCACAGTAACACGCGGAGAGTCTGGGCCCAGAGCACGTTCTGGGTTCTATGTGGTCTGTTTAGATCCCAGACTGAAGTTGGGTGGGCCGAGTCCTTCCCAGAGTGCTAAGAGACCTGAGGCCTCTACCGAGTAAAGCTTAAGTCCCAAAGTACCTTCCATGGGAGTTACAGATAAATAGATTGTTGGCGGCCTGTCTTTTCTTCCTGTGGTCTGGGAAGGGACGCAGCTGCTCTGGGTGTTCTGCGGTGGAAGCTGCACGCACCGTGAGCACTGTGCATCACTAGTACTGTGGGAATGACAGTGTTTCTATTTCTTCCCCAGGTTTTGCATGAGACCTTCCCAAAACATACATTTCTCATGAATGGTCTGATTCAGGGGGTCAAGGTAAGTTGCCCAGAGTAAATCACAGGGACAATTGAACGCTGTGGGGAATACAGAAGCGACTGCCTGTTGAGAGAAACCTTCCAGAGGTTTTTCAGTGCCGCTTCACAGTATAAATAAAACAGTAAATCATTGCTAAAAAAGCAAATACACATCACTTTACTTTCAGCAAGGTAGT